GTAGAAGTATTTGCAGAAAATCTAAAGCATCTTTGGCATTTAAAAGATTTTATTAAATAGAATAATGTTTATGATTCAACCTTTTAATTTTGCAGTATTATAAGTAAGGAAATCATGACTGAATGATGAAAGAAATGCTTGAATTTTCTCTGTACATAGCAAACCATCAGAATTATTGCTCTTTAAAGTGATTTCTCTTTGTTTGGGAGTAAATGTTCCTCTTTCCCACTCTAACTGTGGACAGTTCTTATCACAAGGACAGAATGTAAGGAGACAGGGCCTCCTTTGAACACTTGCTTCCTATCTCCTCTGTTACACATAAACAGATGCATATTTTCCTTCCAGTTCATTACTTACTGATTTTCTTTGCTGCAAATGGATTATAAGACTTTCTTCTGGAAAGTATAAATTCTGAATCTCATAAAATTTACCATCAAATCAACATCACACATACTAGCTTTTTGTCTCTGTAACAAAAACCTGAGAGAGCAATTCAAAGAGAAGAAAGATTTATTTTAGCTCACAGTATCAGAGACTCAAGTCCATGGTTGGATAACTCCTTCTGGACCTGTGGTGGGAAGCACAATCCAGCAAGAAGCATGTGGAAAAGCAAAATGATTCATTTAGTGTGTGTGTGTGTGTGTGTATGTGAGAGAGAGAGAGAGAGAGAGAGAGAGAGAGAGAGAAGACATTCTTCAAAGGCACACCATCCAGTGCCCCCCAACATGCCATCATCTCTAATAATGCACCAGATTTTGAATCTGTCTGTGAATAAACATTGATTAATTCAGAGCCCTCAAGATCCGGTCACTCCCCCACAGCCCATCAGCTGATAACATGATCCCAGTACGTGAACCTGTAGAGGACATTTCATATTCAAATTATAAATATATTAATAGTTGGATTTTCCCCATAGTTTAAAAAATTACTGATTTTTATAAAAACCAGTCTTTCACTTAAGACAACATATATGATAACTTTGAGAACCAACGTTATTTCTTTCATCAAAAAACTCCAGCATTAAAGCTGGGGAGGCAGTTCAGTAGGTAAGAACATGCTGTTCAAGCATGAGGACCTGAGTTTGGATTTCTGACACTCCCACAAAAAAACATCCAGCTATATTCTCCCACAGACTTATAACCCACCAAGATTCTGGGTAGATCCCTAGAGATCAGTGACCAGTCAGTCTAGCCGAAATAGCAAGCTCCAGGTTTAGCAAAGGGGAGTAAGACAGGGAGTGATAGAACAGGACACCTGGCATCCTCCTCTGGCTTCCACACATGTATGCATTGGCAAATGTACCCTCACAAACATGCGCATACACCATACACACATACCCCTCTCACCTCATTCATACAGAGAGAGAGAGAGAACGAGAGAGAGCAATTATTATATTAAGAAATATATGAACATGAATAATTTCTGAAGCAATAGTCTAATAATTTCATGTTCAATGTTCAATTACAAACAATATTCAAATATTTCCTTATGTTAATATATTAGCCGAGTCGGGTGTGGTAGCGTATGCCTTTAATCCCAGTACTTGGGAGGCAGAGGAAGGTGGCTCTCTATGACATGGATACCATCCTGGTCTATATAGAGATTTCCGGGCCAGCTAGGGCTATAGGGAGACCTGTCTTAATGAAAATCCAAAGCAAACAACAACAAAAATACTTTAGCCCTAATTCTTCATGTATCTCACACTCTTGTCATGTAAGATTTGGAGACTTGGCAATTCTGCCCCTTGACTTTAGACTTATTTTGGCCAGTGTTATGTGACTAGAAAGCTGTTTTTACCATTGCCAATGAAAAAAGCTGCCTTGATTCCCTAAAGCCAGGAAGGACAATGGAAGCTAGGTAGAAAGAAGAGAATTGCCCTAAATGACCCTCAAAGAAGCAGTGGCCCCAGGCCCTGCAGTGTGAACTGGGATGCAGTCAAGTCTGATCCAGACCAGCCAAACTTCAGAGACTTCACAGATACTTGGGTGACAATAAGCTATTCTTACTTAAAGCTGCTGAATTTTGAATTTGTTGTGCCTCCTCATCAAAACTAGGACCAAATTAATACTGAAAATAATACTAAAAATGCTTCTGGGGGCTGGAGAGATGGCTCAGCAGTTAAGAACAATGGTTATTCTTGCAGAAGACCCGGGTCAAATCCCAGCACCCACATGGCAGCTAACAACTATCTGTAACTCCAGTCCCAGGGGATCCAACATCCTCTTCTGACCTCCGTGGGCATTGCACGACATGGGTGCACTTATCTACATGCAGGCAATACACGAATACACATAAAATAAAATTTAAAAAAAAAATGCTTCTGGTCCAAGATAAGGCTGAAAGTCACTGTGTTAAGCCATCATGCCCATCATCCTCAAACACAAGAAATTGCTTCTGTCTGGAGACAAGAGGAGAAGAGTGTGGTCAACATCTGTCAAGTCTCCTGACCCGGGAATGACTCCAGCTCTCATTTAGACTCACAGTGGAATTTCTTCAACAAAGAGTATTCAATCACTTCAAAATCACTTCAAAAGATTTTGGACAATGGGCGGCTACTATTCTTCCAATTAAGAATTAACAGATATTTTAAATTTTGTTTAGTTTAAGGCTAAGATCATAGTCAAAAAATATTCATGATAAACAAGGCTTTAGATTCTGAATAATTCACATGACCATTTTATATCTTTGAGCCAAATTTCTAAGTAATTTCAATTGTACTATTATTTAGATTAATGAAAGAATAAAAATAAATGTTAGGCTAATATTTTTTACATCACATTTATGGAGTACATAAAGATCCTCACCTCAGAAACATAACTTCTTTCACAAGCTAATTGAAGTCAGAACTTTGGCCTTTGACTCAGGATTTTACTCAACATGGAATAGTGCAAACTAAACAAAAAGTTAATGAAGGAAGAAATATTATAGATAATTTTAAATATTAAATTAAGTATCTAAAACGGATTGTGCCTTTGGAAACAAATAACCATTTTTCATTTATTTCCTGTACAGTAAGCAAAATGGCTTTAGAATTAAAAAAAAAAATCAATGTTTCATTACCTGAAAACCTTGCTGAGGATTGAGAATATTTCTGCTGTTGACATTTCATTAAGATTATTTAACAACTAAGCAATTCATTTGCTTCTACGGTGTTAAAATTGATATATTTTTCAAAATAAAGTCCAGAGTTTTCAGAGAAAACCCATAGATTTTTGAGCCAATGTCAATTTCTATCACTGAAAAGTGTAGATTAACATAGAACAATAAATGTGTAGAATCAAGAGGATTAAAATATATTAAGCAATAAATAATGCCTTTAATAATGTCAAAATGGCAAAGACATAACAAGATTATTTTTTAATAGTGAGATAATTTCAAAAATTGCTAATTTCTACTAATTGGATATTGATAATACATACATTTTATCATTTTATAAGTATGCCTTCAAAAGTGTATTTTGTTATTATCTAATGTCATATGTAGAGAATATGGGTATTTTCTTTTTGACATCAAAACATTTCTCTTTTTTTGTCTATTTTTAATACAAATTCAGACTTTCAGAAACATCTGCAAGAACAGCACCTGGTAGAATTTCCATGTGTCCCACATCCAGCCCTCCTCCCTCCCTCCTTCCTGTGTCCCTTCTCCCTGTGTTTCTGCCTCTCTTTCTCTCTCTCTCCTCCCTCTCTCCTGCCTCATTTATCCCTCTTCTTCTTTTGGCCTTTCAGAAGTATGCCTCGCTTGCTTAGAACAGAGCATTGATTCTTAGAGTCACTTCAGCTGGTAAACTCAGCCTGTGGTTGAAGGGTGTTGGCACCCAGACAGGTTGTGTGGCAGTGTTTTGCTTCTTTTGTTTGGTCATGTATTCAGTTTGCCTTTTGCTTTGAGAGATCCTAAGTCCATCCACCTCCTTTAATTCGTTTTCCTTTCCTTTCTCTACATTTCTCAAAAGTTCTTTTCCGTTCTGTAAGTCTTCTCTCCCCTTAGAGCACATGCTTTGTCTGAGACAGCACCTCATCTTCTGGGTACATATGGGTACATTTCCAGCCACCAATCCTCTAAGCACCATTCTGTGTATCATGCAGTTTTCAAATATGGAGTTAAGTTTCTCCCTGTGCTGGATAGCTTTAGTGTCAACTTGACACACCTGGGTTGAGGGAGCCTCAATTGGGAGATTGCCTCTATTGGACTGGCCTGTGGCCATATCTGAGGGGCATCTTCTTGATGAGTGATGTGGGAGGGCCCAGCCCACTGTGGGCAGCGCCACCCCTGGGCAGGTGGGCCTGTGTTGCATAAGGAAGCAGGCTGAGCAGGGGCCAGGGGAGCAAGTCAGTAAGCAGCAGTCCTCCATGGCCTGTGCCCCAGCTCCTGCTTCCAGGTTCCTACCCTGAGTTCCTACCTTGGGCTCACTGATGAACAACTGTTGCTGGTTCTCCTCAGGCCAGCTATGAAGACCCTGACCTGGATAGGGTCCCCTGCCAATTAGGGGTTGGCAAGAGGCGCAGAGTCATGACACACACAGACCCCAGGAGTCAGGTAGAACTAGGCAAGGTGCTGCTGGCTCGTTTAATGCAGGAGGGGGCAGGCCTTATTATTTCCCTTTTCTCCACCCCCAAGTCCCTTTAGTCAGTCTATCATTTTCTGATTGGTCTGCACCACGCAGTCTGTCAGCAGTCACTGGGCTTGAGAGCAGGGTACAGAGGCATGGGCTCCTTTTGGTGGGCTATTGTGGACCAAGAAGTGAAGTGAATTCTCTCTGAATCCCAGGGCTCTGGGTCCATGTCATGCTTGGAGGCCTTCTGCTACATTTCCACCCTTTTTCTTTAAAAATGACTGTCCAGTGAGAGCCTGTAGGCAGCTGCACCTCAGGATGACCCCAGGATCATGGACTATGCCTGTCTTAGGTTGTCCTATTCCAGCATGAACCTTACCCATCATTGGAGCTTGGGTGTACATATCCATGTCTTGGCTTAGGTTGATTCAGCCCAACAGGAGCTTACCTGTCATTGGCTACCAGCCCTCCAAGGGGTATCATCCCAGGGGATCAGTCGAGGTGGGGAATTATCTGTAGGAGGCCTCGTACATTTGTGCAAGCCAAGTCTGTCAGGCTGCATAGGGTGGGTCGAAATCATCTTCGTGTATGCTCTGAAGGTCTGATACACCGAGTGATTAAATTTTTTCTGACTGCGGGAATGAAGAACAAGGCATTTAAGAAGTAGAAAGAGAAATAATTATGTCTGTCAGGAGTAGGTAATTGACAATCCAAGATGGGTCAAACAGTGCTTTTAGATTAGACCAGATTTTTTCCAAGAACCCTGAATTGATGTCCAGCATGGGGGCATAGGTATAATTTAGAGCAATAATTTGATTAGTTAGTAATATAGAGTAATTAAGAAACTTTTGATTACAGTGGCCGAGAATATAGTGCGCAAGTTGTAGGCATGCTTCAGTAATATTCTGTACTTTATAGGGGGTGAGACAAAGTGACCTAAAGCGATGATCACAAGCTAGCAGAGCCATGTCTTTGATAATTGCCAGCTCTTCACTTAAGAGATCAATTTGTTGTTGTATTACACATTAATTGCCTGGTGAAGATGCTGATTGATAAGGGACTGAGTGTGAAAGGTAGAGGAGGTTTTGGACATGGCCTTGTTGAGTGTCTCCACAGTAGTGGAGGATTGGATGATAGCCACTGCAGCAGTGGCGGCCGACCCTAATGCAAGGATGATGGCTGAGAAAAGAGCTTCAGTGACACTGAAATCCCGTTTTAAGCGGGGGAATTGTGACAAGCCCTCTATAAGGGTGACAGCATGGAAGTAGGTTGCATTGGTGACTGGATCCCAAAGGGCCGCAGGTTCACGCATAGGGGAAAGGCCCTTGAGTTTAAGCATGTAACCCAAGGAGGCACTGCTGGCATAATCTTGGATGGTCAGGCTGAACAGCCCAATGCATGAGGATGTATTGTTGATAGTGGAGCATAGAGAGTTATTTAGGGGCCAGGAGCCATTGAGTGATTCCCAGGAAGTAACTGGGTCCATGGTGGGGAGGCCAAGCATAGAATTAGTTGAATAGAGGGTGGAGTAGGCTGGGGAATGAAGCAATAAAGGCAAGAGTATAGGTGGGGAGGGGGCCAAGGCCCAGAGATCATGGGCCGTGGCAGGGCAGGGAAGAGCAAACCAATTATCCAGATTTGATGGACCAGCCCAGACTGGAGCACTCAGTCCGACGGGAACAGGGAATTGGAGAGTGGGCAAGGATTCGGCGAGTGACAAACAGACACAACACAAGAGATGGTTGATGATCTGAATGTAATTTGCTAAATTAGAGCATCAGATTTTATACAAGTTACAGAACAAGACTATACAAACATCAGGTTGATTTCATGGTTAATCATTTTCTTAGAAATACAATTCAAAATCAAAGCAATACAGTACAGTGTAGAGTGTTCTTATCTAATTAATCAGGTGCTTAGACTATTTGTCCTTTTCCCTTAGTGGTTTGGCAACATCAGCTACCTATAAATTTCATGGTTGGTAGTTTTATGATACCGTTTTCTCGATATTATCTTACTTCTGAGGTTTCGGTGGCCAAGGCCAATGACTAGGTCAGTGAAGTTGTGAAATAGCATCTTCCTTATAATAACTCCATATACCTTCAAAGGCTTGTTTCTCTAATCCATTTTTTTTCATACTGTCTTTCCATGTTTCTAATATTCCCTGTAATTGTTTAAGTATAGTTTGCTGCTGACTTTTAGTTAAAAGACACCAAGGTGGTCTGGATCTAGCTAACCTATCCATACTATAGTGAATAGCATGAAACTTTCCTTCCTTGAATATTTACCCATCTATTATCGCCTTCATAAACTCTTGTATGAGGAAATGGTTCATCAGTGGGCTCGGGGATACCAAACATGCTCTCTTTTCCCTTAAGGGGAATTGCCTACGAGCTAGGGGGAGGTAGGCTCTGGCTTGTTCTAGTAGAGGAATCTCTACAGACATAATAAGTTTATCTACTTTGTCATTTCCCTTTGCCAAGATCCTGGGGAGCTTGGTGTGTGATCTTATGTGGGAGATGTGCCAGGGCCATTGTCTGTTATCTAAGATAATCTGGAGAGCTCTCATCGTTCTAGTGATGGGATCCTTGTGGCCTTTTACTCGAGCAAAGGGAAGACATCTGAGGGCCTGAACCTCATACTGGCTGTCAGAGAATATATTGAGCGGCTCAGTCTGGCAGACCTGGAAGATTTTTAACAAGGCCGGGAGCTCGCCCAACTGGACAGAGCCAGGATTGGCTTGTATGTAACAGGTGTCATCCTTTCCCATGCGCTGAATGACAATGCCATAATGGAACTTATTGGCATCCGAGAAGGCTAGCGTGGCTAAAGGTAGGGGGTTTTTGGAGGGGGAAGCGTGTGGCTGAGTGGTGCTTTCCAAACAGGCCAGGCTGGTCAGTCGCTTATCTGGGGTGTGTGGTTATCCAACTCCCCTGAGAACCCGGACATCATTAGTTGGAAAGCCAGAGAGTCTGCCCATAATGTTTGGGAATGCTTAAGAGGAAAGGGCAGTATAATTTTGTCAGATTCCTTTCTGAATATGCGCCTGGCTGTTTGTCGGGCCTTAATTGCTAACTTGAAGGCAATATCATACTTAGAGCTAAGCCTAGTTAGGTCCGAGGTAGCCAGGTGGATCCACACCAGGGGGTCTTGCTGCCATAGTGCCCCCAAGATAGCATTTTTAGTCCAAAGGATCAAGGCCAGTAATGGTTCTGCTGGGTCATGGCATCAGAGTGATGCAGACCAGAGTATATGATCTATCTTATTAAGAAGATCCTTACCTGACTGGGTGAGAGGGATCCTTGAAGTTGGTGAATTATGGCCTTCCAGAAGGGAGAACAAGGCCTGGAACCAAATCTGGACTGGTATAAATTGTTTGAGCCAGTTTATAGTCCCATGGAGTTCTTGGAGCTCTGTCAAGGTATATACAGTTTTTTGCAAGATGGAAGGGTTAAGTGTTTTAATTACAGTATCTATATGGTAGCCAAGGAATGTGAAAGGTTGGATGTATTCTAACTTGTCTCGTGCAATGTGAAGACCTAGACATTCTAAATTGGCAAGCAGACTGGGTATTACAGCCTGTAAAGTATTGTGAGATTTGTGTGCTAGCAGTATGTCGTCCATGTGGTGGATGACAATTAGGTCCTTCGGGATGTTGGTTAAGGCCTTATTAACACATAATTGACAGGTTGTGGGGCTATTTTTCATACCCTGTGGTAGTACCTTCCATTGGTATCTCTTGGCTGTTCTTTGAAAGTTGGGCTTCCATACTGTGAAGGCAAAGTGAGGTCTATCTTATTCTGCTAGGGGTATTTGGAAGAAAAATTCTTGGATATCAAGTACTATGATATGATGGGATGGGGGATAGCTGTAGGGTATGGTAAGCCTGCTTGTCTCAAGCTTATCTTTTCCATCTGGGCATTGACTGCTCTAAGATCTTGGAAGAGTCTGTATTTCCCTGATTTCTTTTTAATAACAAATATTGGGGTATTATGTTTACTGAGAGAAGGCTCGATGTGGCCAAGCCTCGATTGTTCAGCTACCAAATTTTTGAGGGCAGATAATTTAGGTTCTATTATAGGACACTGGTCCACCCAAATGGCATCGTTAGAGAGCCAGGTGATGAGGATCAGCTCAGGGGCCAAGATTGGAGTCGATCCCAGGTGGGCAGTGGAGGTTAGGATTGGGGGTGTTTTGGGCAAGGTGTTTTCCTTTCCCTGATAGTCCCAAGTTATCATGGTGCATGATATCACCATAAAAGGCATGGTCATCCATGGTAAGGACCACACCCATGTCCTCTAGGATGTCTTGGCCCCATAAGTTACGGAGAACATCTGCTACTATGGGGGTAACTGTGCCCTGGTGCCCATCCAAGTCCTTCCAAAATACTGGACATGTGACCAGCTTGGTGTCTTGTTTTCTGCCAACTCCTTTTATTGGTGGGGCTGGCCGGTATTTCCAATGAGGGAATTTAAGGGATTCAGTTTCTGATATAATGGTGACATCAGCCCCTGTGTCTACTAGGACCTTTATGGCAGTTCCATCTAGGAACAGGGTCATTAGTGGGAAGTGGTTGAGGATTGGAGAGTCCATAATATGTGTCTCATTTCCCCTCTTGTGGGCAGGGCTGAGGGACACCCCAGGTGGAGTTTAAAGGTGCCGAGTCCAGTTGAGGCTGTGACCTACAGTCTTTAGCCCAATGGAACCCTCTTTTGCACTTGGGGCAGCGAGTCTTGGGGCGGGCTCTATCTCTTGGGCAGTGGCTACGAAAGTGTCCAAACCCCCCACAGTTCCAGCAGCCTTCCCATGAGCCAAATTGGGTGGGTTTTCCTTGTGACAAAAGAGTCTCCAAGGAGGCAGTCAAAGCCTCATTAGGGCCTGCCTTAGGGTCTAAGTCTCTAGTAGCGAGTACCCATTTGTGAATGTTGTCATTGCAGACAGGGATGTTTAGTCCCTCCCAAGTTAATTGTTTGATAAGCACCTCTTGGGTGGGTCCAGACTCCACCCTCCACTATACCGCCTTGGTGACATGGGTAAGGAAGTCGGTGAAGGACTCCCCTGACTGTTGAATCAAATTACGGAAAAAGACTTGTGGGTCACTGGGGGAGCAACATTTAAGGGCCTTAAAGGCCAAGTCAGAAACTTGTTGAAAATAGGCATGGAGGCCAATAGTAGACTGGGAAATGGGGCCAGTATATTGTCCATGTCCCATGAGCATATCCAACATAATGTTGAGGCTATATTGGAGAACGAGGTCAGCAAGTGGGATGGGCAGCCATGGATGCTATGCTGCATTGGAGCCGAAGTTAACCGGAAACGCGGGCAAAGGTGGGTGAGGTTTTAAGGAGGGCGGTCTAGGAGGGAGGGACACATTAACAGGGGAGGGGGTGGGATGGTTACTGGGGCGGAGAGAGTAACTCCTTCCACAGGTAATGGGGCGGGGGAATTTCTGGGCATGGTAGCTCTAGGAGAGTATCCTGAGATATAGGGAA